TAATGTGGTATGGTAACCTGAACTTATGTACTTACGTACGAAGTTCTACATTGCTGCTGATTGACTCATGTTATCATACTACTCTTTTTAGTTTATCACTCAAAGTTATATTCGCAAGCTTATATTCGTAAGTCTATGTATGCCTGTTTTTAATCGTCAACTTATGCACTTTGTTTATGAACAGAAATAAAACGAATTAGTCGGATTATTTTCCATAGTAGGATAAAATGCTGTATTTTTCTACACTGAAAAGGAATATTAGGTAAAGATGATTTTAATTTTAATTAAATTGTAAATTATTTTAATATTTTTGACAAAATTATTATGCATTATCATATAAGTGCATTCATTTTTTTGTTTTACTTGTCGTTATACTTTATGTTTAACAGTGCATTGTTGAAAATACAAACAAACAAACAAACAAACAGACAAACAAATTAATGTATGTATGTGTTGATTATTTCCTTTATTTTGTTGTTGTTACAAAGGAAAAATAAACCAGCTGGCTATTTTCAATGGTTTATTATATGTGCTTAGGACATTGAACTTATTTGTCTTAGTTTGCTTTAGACAATGTGTACTGTTAATTACGGAAATATAGTCTATCTTGATAGAATCTTTTATACGCAAAGTTTTACCGGTTCAAATTATTCATAGAGTTTGCAGTTGTATAAGGCAGAAAAATGAAATTTTAACAATAACGCGAATATGAAAGATGCATAGAGAAACAAAAGAGGAAAAAGAAATTACTGGCTGATTTACTGGATGTTTCTTGACAAAATTAAGATTTAAAGGACTAAATGTATTTGAAGACTTCTTGTAAGATGTAAGTAATTAAAACATTACAAAAAAGAAAGAATTAAATTTTAAGATGTTCAGGTCGGTAAAGTTAAAATAGACGTACATTCGATACACGATCATCAAGGAACACTATACATTGTAGTTGAGAGTGATACATATTTGCATGTAGAATATATAACTAGATAAAGTAAAGATAAATGAGCTACAAAACAGTTGAAACAAAGACCAGTGTTTTCATAACTGAATACCATAGAATTAAGTTGTGAAAGCCTGAGTAATAGGTAAAATTGAGGCCATATGATAGAGTATATTGTTCCATGACAATAAAGTTCACTAAGTGTTCCTTCTTTACACTTAAATTTAATCTGAAAATGTTTCATATCATTAGTCTATATAAAGTAAAGTATGAGTGTCTTTTGTTTGTTAGTCATTTCGAATATATTGGAGATATCCGTTTGCATGGACTATTCATTAACTGCCTCGAAACTATATTTGTGTAGATGTTTCTTCTTTCCATGAATGTATTTCGAAGAAAATGTAGATATGAGAAGTATTGTTCTGAATGGAATGAATTTCTTGTCTCTCCTTGGTTTTCAATCGTACCCGAACTATGATCAATGCAATCTATGAATCATAGTAACAGAATACTCAATATTTTTATTTACTCATTCTTTGTATATCAATCCATTATTAGTGGAAATTATCAACTCGTAAACTAAAATTACCTAGAGATGACTGAAAAGTTACTTTCCGTTAGCTTTAACTTCATCAATTGATATCGATTTGTTATTAAAAGCACCTTCATATTATTACGACAGTATTAAAAAAAAAACTCATAAGTACTATCACATAAATTCTAGACAGAAAGCTTGCTAGTTTTTGTTATATGCATTTGAGATTAGTAGTCAGCTAGTTGACTGACCAATTAATGTATCCAAGTTTAAATACACCAAGGTTCTTTTCAATATATTACTTAAATGATTAAACTCCACCTGTTTGGTTTAAATTAATATCTTCTTTAAACAACTAAATTGTTTGTCTGTGGAGAATATCAAATTTAAGGGAATTAACTGTTTTAACAGATGTCAAAGAATTTTAGCTTGATAGTTGAAAACTATTAATCACTGTATGTACATATAAATATTTAGGCTAAATTTGTACATGTTTATTTATTGGTGAAGTTAGTTAGTTTTCATCAAAAGCTAAAAGAATTGAAGTTTCCCTTCATTCTAATACACAACTTTCCAACATTATATTATCTGACTGAAGTGTTGAGAATCGATATGAAGTTGCATCCAGTGACCCACCTTTTTCACAATGATTTTCAAACTGAAGTTAGTTCATAAGGCGGGTTCAAATTCAAGACAAATAATCTCTGAAAACTAGAGAACTTGAGAAATAATCAGTACTTAATCTTTGTGAAATCTCAGTGATCTAGTTAAGTGCTTCGATTGCATTATTTCCAATTTTCCAAGTATTTGTATTTTTAATTCTAAGTTTATTTGTTTCTTATCATCTCATATGCCTCTTAATATCTAGTTGAATATCTTTCTAGTTTTTCTATTTCTTTTCAAAAAGTGCAGAAAATTGAATTCATGCATTTTCTTAGATTGTTTTATGCTCTATTTTTTGTACACAAATATCCTAGTCACCATAAAACTTCACAGTTGTGTAACATTCCATTGTCTTGTATCCAAATAGAAATTTTCTTGTGATTCCGGATGATATTCAAACTTTATATGTGGTATATACTGTCGTTCCATTTACTAAACAGAAAGTTTATTATTCTGCATTGATCATCTAAGATGTCTCATAAAATAATAACTTGACTGAAATATTATTTTACCAAATAACCATCCATCGTATTCCGTTTTCCAACAAAAGACGTTTAACCCACTTCTTATTATGTAAAATAGATTTGAGCCTTTATTATTCTTATCATAAACCAGAGTACACTGTGATCAAACTATCAATTTCTACTTTTAATTCTACTATTATCACTCACTTGTAAATTGCCTTGATCGGTTTGATAATTTCATATATATAGATGAATATTATTGTCTATTAGAGTAAAGCCTGATAAAGATATAATTGAAAACGATATTTTCCAATTCATAATAAGATTATGTAAATATTTTCAAGCATTTTTGACATGATGAGGATTCACACTGCTCTATATTATTATTGACTATCAGGGTTGCATATTTTTTCTAAAATATAGTAGACTCAATATTTTGACTAATTTACAAATTTATTTAAAAATCCTGGTCAAAATATCTTTCAGATATCTTTGATTAAAAACTAGTAGTATATTGTTTGTCATGAAAATTTCATGACTGTTTTAGTTTCATTATGGTGAAATGGATAAATAAATTATTAGCGCTTATTAGTTGAAATCATTTCAATACAAAACATATCTAGATGAAAGTTGTGTTTGCGATTTCAAATAGACTGCTCTATGTGAGGTAATGTTTGCGATGCAGTAGGTAGATATTCTGTTTTCTTAGCCTCTTTTTGTTGTCGTTAAGGCTAAAATAATACAAAATGATCAAAATGATCACTTAATTGTAAATATTTTCGATTAATAGTTGGTGTTGTTGAAAAGTTTCACACTGGAACAATAAGAGTACTCAGTTCCTTTGACACTCAGTTATGTTATGATTAATATGAACTGATGATGGGTGAATTAACCTTCAAACTAGTCAAAGCATCACAATTTCTCTTGACTGGATAACATAAAATTGTAGCTCTGTGATTTAATAAAATACTATTTAGAATATAATATACAAAAGGCAATTAACAGCTCCAAAGTTTGTTTTTTTTACCTATCAATGACTTTTTTTATTTCGGAGTTTTTCAATGTATGGATGAGACAAACCAAAGTCATTTTAACCAACAAAACTTTTCAGTTGTTATTAGGATTGTTGGAAAATTTTATTCCCAATTAAAACTGTAAACAGGTATATGAAACGAAAAATGAGTCAATAACATACTTTGTATGTGTTAGGACTAGTTGACTTATCGTTTTGTAAATCTGAATATACAAAGCAACTACTGTGATTAATTGATGATAATCGGCTAGTTGTCTTTTCACATAATAAAAATGCCTAATGCTGATTGGCCACCTGGATATCTTATACCAACATACACTGCAGCTAATTTCAACAATTAGTCTGGATCATTTAAAAGGCTGTTTAAAGGTAAAAGAGCCGTACTAGTCAGTCACAGACAATAAATGATTAGGCCAACTTGTTTATCGATCCGAATTCACCTAGCCATAGGGTCTAGAAGTTAGTAAATGAAAACTAAAAAAGTTTGTTTTGTGACGGTAATGAAAATTTTAAATCTGATTCGAAAAACGATTGAAGGAAAACAAGGACTTGAATGCATTCAATAACTTTAAACTTAGAAATTAGAAGATATTTAATATTCTTCTCCGTACCACTGCAACTGATTTTGATCCAAATCGTTTGTAGTCACCAATTACATCACAAATTAGTGCCAAGGTGTCGGTCTCTATGGACATAACTCATGCTGAAGTTTAGTGACCTCTTGAACTGATCCCGTTGGACTTCACTGGACCTATCTTTTCATCAAGTAGCTGAAAGTTGTGAGGTCAGTCAGTTTGCGAATTATAAAAACACTTAAAGCTAAAAAGACGAACCGCATTACAAAATAAACGAAGTTGAACACGAAGGCTGGGTTTAGATTAATTGATTTCTCAGGAAATTCTCCTTTCTAAAACGTTAAGGAAATAGATTATGTCTTAACATATGTTGCGTTTACAAACTAACCACGAGTCGTGGATTGTGAAAGCGATTTCGTTCACTGAATCTCGGATAATCACTGGTACTCTATTTCATGATGGTTCTCAACAAAAATATTCACCGTTAATCACACAAGTCTCGGCAAATTACGAATTTCAGTGATTGGATTTTACTACAGACTTTATCTAAAAACTGCATAGAAAATTTTCAAAATATAAGGTATCTTTATGCTGATCAGTAAGTTATAAAGTTAGTTTATGTAATATTGCTAAATCCAATGAAACACGACTCCATTTCTTATGAAAATGCCGATATTATTATGTCACACCTATTTCAGTAAAATTTATCAAAGAAAAACTATGGAATCTGTAATTAATTCAGAAATTTTTTTTATTCCAATTTATTTATCTTTGTATATGAATCGTCTAACAGAATTTGATCAAAGATATCCTGGTGAGTAAAAGAAATATTTCTCTTGGTTGCACAGTTATATAGTTCGCTAATTTTACTTGATATTTTTGTTAAATTATTCTTTTTAAATGATGTGATTTTTGGAAAACATAAATATTACCATTTACAAGTGTTTAAAACCATCAGTTGTTTCAGAGAAATACACTTCTATAGTGAGTCAAATGAACCAGAGCATGGTTACCATACATTGGTTGTCTTTGCGAGCGTAAGAATTTTCTCTGCTTTAGTCGCTGACAAAATTTAGATAAGTAGTAAAAAGGTTTGCCGATTTTTTTTATCAATCAGCAGCCTTCGTCAAACGGACGCGATATCTTAAAATCCATCAAAATTCTTGCACAATATACACCAATCTAGTTTATTACTTTACAGTTGTAGGGTGGTAAAAGTGAAGAGAAAGAATGGTTTTCAAAGAGTGATGATGATTCGTGCCTACGAAGAATATGTCATTTGTGGTAGAGGTATCCGGTAGGTAACTAAAGTTAAACTTGAAGTTTAAAGGAGAGAAGGCGAGCCATTTGAAAAGAACTTTAATCTCTTACTCAGGTAATAGGGATGTAAGTTGTTCAATATACCTAACTAATGCTACAAACAAATGCGTTGATAACTGATGTTTTGTTATATAAATTAAGTTCAAACTGACTAAACAATCATCAGTTACTTGCCCATGACGTCAGTAAATACAAGCTTCTTACTTACTTTAATTACGGCTGTTTACCTTTAATGGAACATAGGCCGCCGACCATCATTCTCCAACCTACTCTGTTCTGGGCCTCCCTTTCCAGTTCTACTAAATTGCTGTTCATTCTTTTCATATCTGCTTCCAATTCTGGACAAAGTATGTTCTTTGGTCTTTCTCTTTTCTGTTGCCTTGTGACACAATCGGGTGATTTCCGCTATGTGTGTCCTAATCGTCTTCAGCGCTTTTCCCTAACATATTCCTCAGCTTCAATCTGGTTTGTTCCCCCACATAGTAGGTTGCTGCTGGTGGTGTCTGACCAACGGATGCTGAATATCTTGCTTATACAACTTAATAAACACATGTATCTTGTCGGTGATGAACTTCATGGTTCTCCATGTTTTCACTCTATACATTAGAACGGTTCGGACGTTTTTACTGAAAATAGTGACTTTGATGTTGGTTGAAAGTTGTTTTGAGTTGCAGATGTTCTTCAATTATAGAAATTCTGCTCTTGTCTTGCTAATTCATGTCTTTAAATAGGCATCAGATCCACCCTGTTTATTGTTTTGGGATGTAGGAATAGTTTGGAAGAAAGCTAGAGACAGCCAAACCAAAACATGACAGAAATCCATGAAGTTACTGACAACTGCACTGAGTCATGTTGGTAGGTGTCAACTACCAGGTTGGGGTCCGCGAGACGATAATAATCGATGGTTAGAGACCTTGAACAACATGGCTCAAAATTGTTTGCGATGGCGCAGGTGCATCCACTCTACGTCTTTTCTGACGCTCTAAACTTCTGAATTCCTCATCATCTCTATCTTTCTGTTTCTAAAGTTGTCTTATTGAATTCCACTTCTTGAATAATATATTCGAACCCGAATCTTCTCCATTACCGCTAATACTTCTACTACCACTGCCACTATTGGATTTGAAGTGAAAATTGTGTCTCTGTGCTAGTTTGTATGGTAACCTGAACTTATATACTTGGTACGAAGTTCTACATTGCTGTTGATTGACTGACTGATCAGTGATGTTGTCCATGTATGTAAAGGTTTCTACATCTCCCAAAGCTTTTTCATCAAGTGTGATTTGGTTTGTGCATTCTGTGTTGTATCGGTGGATCTTGCTTTTTCCCTTCTGTATGTGGAGACCAACGGCTGCAGAGGTTGTTCATACACTAGCTCTCTTCTCCTGCATTTGATGTTGTGTGTGGAACAGAATAGCTAGGTGATTTGCAAAGTTCGAATCTTCTAACTGCATCCTAGCAACCCACCATATCCCTTGCTTCGCCTTAGATGTTGACGTTTTCACAATCCAGTCAACCACCAAAATAATGAGAAAGGGTAAGAGGAAGCAGCCTTATTTGACACCGGTCTGCACTTGGAAAGAGTATGTGAGCTGTTCGTACGCTAGTTTCGATTATATAAAAGAGTATAGATATATTATTTTTAGGCTTCTTAATAGTAAAATAGGTTGATCGAATTCAGAGTGTCTTTGTGTCACAAACGTATTCATGATTTTATTTGTTCTAAATCCAAAGTGCAATTATTTTTTTTACTTTTTATTCTCACTATTTGCTGTTACATTTTAGGTATTAACCTCAAGTAACTGTTATTAATTCTTTATTTTTTTGTTCTGTACATATATATATATATATATATATATATATATATATAAACTTTGAAGTAAATAGATTTTTTTATAACAAAATGTAATTCCCTGTTTGTTTGAGTTCAGTCTTTAATGTAAACATTTACAACAATTAAAAGCATTGTATTTCGTAAAGTTATCCAGAAAAAATGACTTCAGGTTAAGAGAAACTGAACAGGTACTAAGGTGTTAGGTGTTTTTTAAATAAAGTAATCTCGTTTATTTAAAAAAATTATTCTATTATATCTTTGATGTGCAATAACTTTTCCATTGAATACAATCATGCTTATTTTCAGCATATTTATTACACGACATACATGTAACATGGATGCTGTAGTAAAATGACTGGAAAAAAGTATACCTCATGATATTGACTAAAAACAATGAGTTATAAAAGAAAAAAAACTGTTAAATACATTGTTCGCAAGTATGACTTACTGTTACTGAATTAACTTCGTATTTATCACCGCTAACTTTAGCCACAGTTGGGTATTTTGTTTATCATGTCATTCGCATTCTGCATTGATCAACAATTCATATATTTCATTGTTTATCTTTTTGATGGAAATTTATGACACCCCTGTTTTTGCTGTCATGCTAGTGGACTATCGAGCATTTAGATGCATCGAGAAGCTATGTCGTTTCATTCTGGGACCTCTCAAACTACACTTATAGCTGACACTATAGGAAATAAGATCAACCGAGTCTAGATAAAGATAAAATTCAGAAGTGTCATGAAAGACCTATGCATAGAGGATCTAATATAACTTCAGATCACTGCCTAGTGATCGCTAAACAGTCACAGAAGTAGAATTGAAAAGTTTGATACATCCTCCCTTCAAGATACTAACAAGCTCAGTAAGTTCAGCGTAACTTTCAGCTGCAAGCTTCAAGCCTTGCAAGACTTACTAGATCCATATGAAGATCAAATGGAAAGAGAATAAAAAAGCAATAGCTTTGACAAGCCAGGAAGTGATGGGCACCATGAAGCACTAGATTGAAGAACCAACCCCTATGGACAGTTACGGATATATGATAGATCAGAGCTACGAGTCGAAAAAAAAAGAATGTAAGACAATAATTGAGGTTCAACGGCAGTGAGACAGGTGGATAGAGCACTTTGAATGTTCTTTACAAGATCAGAGCCACTGAGCTCACTGGAAATCAAAGCAGCACAAACAGACCTTCCTATAGATATCACTGCATCGACAAACGTTAGAACTACAGAGACATAGTGTTATTGTCAGTACCAGGAAAGTCTCCAAAAAAGTGTTTTTTAACCGAGCCAAAGATTCAGTTGACGCCCAACTTCGATATCAGTAGGCTGGATTCCGTAAAGTTTGATCGTGTACTGATCAAAATTCTACATTAAGGATCATTGATGAACAATCAATTGAATGAAAATCCTCGCTGGATATCAACTACCTTTATTATGAGAAAGCATCTGACATCTTGGATGAGGAATCTTGTGAAATCTTTGATACTACGGAGTTCCACCACCGTATGCAGCTCCTAAAAAATACTGAACTGCAAGGTTGTTAACCGTGGACAACTCATCGACGTATTCCAAGTAAATACCATGACCAAAAAAGGCTGGCTATTATCACCTTTTCTCTTCTGGTCGTTAACCGGGTTATGAAGACTACTTTATCTCAGGAGAAACTTCGAAATTCAGTGATCGCCTTGGACACAGCGAGATGAATCGAACTTCGGAGATTTAGCTTGGATATCATATACAGAAGAGGTTGGAATTGAGTAGAACATACTATGTAGAAACTATCAAGCTGCGTGACAAAACTCCTAACATGGAATCCCCAAGGCAAAAGAAGAGGCATGCTAAAGAACACATGGTGTTAGGAATCGGAAGCAGATGTCAAGACCATAATCAGCACTTGGCAAGAATTGGACCGGAGAGACCAGGATATAGGTAATTGGAGATTCCTCGACGATAACCCACGCTTTAAGAGGAGTAATAGGCTTAAGTATTAGTGATACTAATATGGGATACCTCAGTAAAAGTTATAAGCGAACAACCTAAAAACTTTTATCTCACGGAAAACTCATAATTCCTAGATCAGTGGACCGTTATCCGATGATGTACATGTATAACTTCAATCATCACTACTGAATAGGTGCATACTAAAACGAAAAAGAAGTTCATTGCCTCCTGATTCCCAGTGGTTGTGGTTCGTGACCTCAACATTTAAAAACCTCTGCGAACACCTATACTGATATCCATCTAACTACAGAAATTTATTTTAAAAAAAATTTTTTTAACAGTTGATTCTTTCGAATAATCTTACTTCTTCTTTTTATATATTTCAGGTCCTGTAGTATGTAAACGAAAAGAATCAGAACACATCAAATTATCAGAAAGTCGTCAGCCTAAAAAACCTCGTCTTGTTTTCACTGATATACAAAGACGCACTTTACAAGCTATATTTAAAGAAACTAAACGACCTAGTAAGGAAATGCAGGTAGGCTCAATGTTGTTGTAGAGGTAAAGGGAGTTTTTATTGTGTGACAAGTTTTGCATAGTTATGTTGTGGTTTGGGTGGAACAATTTAACATTTTTTAAAAATAGGAAACTTGATTGCTATTCAGTTTTTCTAGATAATTTCAGAACAGCTTTTCATTATGCCAAATGAAGCTTCCAAATCTAAGATGTCGGATTTTGTTGGGAGTTAACAATATATCTAAATCCTTTATTGTTATGTCACTTCATTGGTTTCCAAACAAATCCGTCTACAAAATGTTTTCCTATTAATTGTGCAATTTAATAATAATTGAATGAAGATTTCTGGCTTTTAATAAGCAGTATTTATAATATCATTTTTTTCAATATATTCTAGAGAGAGTTGTTTATACAATCTATTATTGATAAGCGCTTGATAAATCAATACATCAGTTCAAGTTGTTACATTTTAAAATTTCTAATCAATACTTGTTGGCTTTTTCAAAAATTCAAACCATATTAGTTAGCTACTTAGAAATGATGATTTTATTAATCATTATCTTCACTTTGATATGATTTTATTTTGATCTCTCCCATTGTATGTATCTATTATTTTCTTTTATAACTATTCCGAAATATAAATGTTTTATTCAGCTCTTTAAAACCAGAATTGAACAAATAATTGTTTACATCAATTCACAAGGTAACCACATTTGAATATTCCAATTACTGATTGTGTAAGCCTTTTTTTTAAACTTTCGGCTAAACTGTTCATCCGATATGAATTAGAAATGCTAAGCAGTTATTTGATGTTTGGATTATCATGGTTCATTCGGTCATAGATTCTGGGTGATATAGTCAAATGATTTTAGAGGACATTATTGGTGAGAAGTATGTAAGATAGTTGACAGACTGTTCAACTTATTATTTGGCACTTTATTTTGGTGTTAGATAACATTTAAGTTTCAAAAACTAGTCGAGATCAAAGAAGCAGTCGGCTATCTAGGGCTATTGTCTCAAATCCACTAACTTTTTTATATCTCCATAAATACTGAGATACTGAATTCTGTATCTGATTTCGATACTATCTTAGTCTACGGTAAGTCTGACAACTGAATTATTACGGCAGGTCATGATGAATATGATCACATTTATAAATACAATATGTAGATTTATATCATGTAATTGAATGCATTTTTGTTGTAAACTAAATGAAATCGAACAAACGTGAATAAGTGATTCAATTTACTGCATACTTTCTATATGCTTATTGCTGGAAATTCATATATGATTCATTTTTCTTTACGGAAAAAACATGGGGTTGAATCAAAGCTAAAAAGTCATCTACGAAATAAAATGATCTAAAAAAAGTGTTAATTCATGTTATTTTATAAAGAAAAGAAAATAAGAAGTTAGTTCCCTTCCTTCAAGAAGAAAACTTCATGTTTTTTTCTTGGAATAGCTTGAATTCATTTTTTCAATTATTTTATAGAATATCAAGGAGGTCATCATGTCGTTGTCATTTGGCGAATAAATTTTACAATATGTTGAAATGTGAGTTTAGTCACTCCATTTTAACTTCTAGTAAAGTAATCAAAGTAAAACACGTGGATTGATGGACTGTTGATAAGTATAAAATGAGATGCATGCTATGTTGATTGCTTTGTTTTGGTACAAGAAACTTTGTATGAAACTATTCACAACTGTGATGCTTCACTTGTAAGGTCAGCTATTATTAAATTTGATGGTGTTATTTATACTGAAAGATTATTTTATTGGCTAATTTATTATGTAGTTGAAATTACAAATTTCTATTAGAGGAATATGAAATAAACAAAAAGTTGTATATGATGTAATTTAACCAAAACTCACAAGAATTTACTGTAACCAGTATTAAACAAAAGAGTCATTATAAACCTATATTCTACTCTCCTGTTTGTTTGTCCTTCGTTCTCTCATGTTAATGAGAAAAGTGACGATCAAAATCAACATATTATTGCTAGATTTGCGTTGTAATATTTACGTACGTGTTAGAGTAAATGAAAAAGCGGCTGAGAATTTGTGACAGCCAGATGAATTTTTATGAAACTTTTCACCAAAAGTCTTAGTGATATAATGAATCTTTAAAATTTTCAAAAAAGTAATTCTATCAGACTCTGTTAAGTTTGCAAACTACTTTCTCATCTCATTATTATGAGCTACTGTCCTTCTTACTTTATTTTAGTCAACTTCATATGTTCCAGACTAGGACTACTGGAATATCAGCAGCACAATGAACTCAGTATCGTAAAAATTTCCATTTAATCATTTAGTAAAAAGAACAAAAAGATCGTCATCGTATTGTAGAATATTATTCATCTTAGTTGAGCAAAGGACAGGTTAAGAGTGATTAGGATTTCTATTCTTGTTCACTTAATGGACACAGAACATTAAGCTGCTGACCTGAATAAAGCTTTCAAAATCATTCACCATATTCCATTGGATTTACCACATGGCTTACGAATTTGTTTTTTACATACTGTTGTAGTTGTCAGAATCCATGTTCACGAACCCAACCTTTGCATTCATTGTATCCGAAATCCTAAATCTCATCACTTTTCAGTAATATCCAAACTGATATCTGGATATAATGAATATTACAAGTCAATTAAAATCTCAGTTTCAATCATCTTTATCTAACAATAGGAGATTGAAAGGCAATTCAACGAAGAAAACTCTCTTTTCGACAATGTTTTTATGGTTAATTCTTTTAGCTAGTAGTCTGTGATGAATTCAACAGATGTTATGTCATTGAGAAAAATTATCATTTGTAACAGAACGTTTCAAATGTAGAATACGGCAGTCTGTTGTTGATGCTTCTTCTTGATAATACAATACTCTTCTACTTTACAAAAACTTAACTATAAATAAAATTGTACAGTTTAAGTAAATGACATTGTCAAAATTGAATTGTCTCAAATTATTCAGCGGTATAGTGTGCTTCCTTTGTTGTTCAAAATAAAAATCTCCTTCAGCAATTATTCGGTCAATAAATTAACTTTAATTTGACGAATACACTAATTTATTAGTAATCATTCTTCATGCAGTCTAGGCAAATTATACTTACTGCACGTGATTGAAATAAATTGATTTCAAAATGAAACTCAATAATTATTATTGTTATTGAATGGCATACTACATACAATGGTAGGTAGACCAGTTTACTTTTAATCACTTCAGGTTTTTTTTTTCAAAAAAAAAGAAAGAAACCTAACTTAATTATTCTGTTCGAATAAAGCGAAATAACACAATGATGATAATATGTATATGTAGAGTACAAGGAAATAAAAAATACAAGATTATTAAGTATAATGATGATGATGATGATGGTTAGTCTGCTGAATACAAAATAAAAAAACATTCACGAAATAAAGGTGGGAATTATTTTCTTTCTATTTATTGCCTTAAATGAGAAATAATGACTGGAAAATAAGACATCAACATCATATGATGTAAAAGAAAAACGAGCACTAAGGATAAAAATACTAAAACAATACTAATAGTGCGAATAGTGTTCATAATAATTATAATAATAATAACAGTAATGGTAATAATAATAATAATGGCGAACAAACTGCTTCATTCATGGGAATATGTCTATGAACCGTACACCTGGCTCACGCAAATTAAGATCACACTCTTGAAAATCAAACTGTATCTCTACTTCTTTATTCCTTCTTTTTCGTTTTTCCTACTCGTTGTTTCTTCATTCATTCTATTTCCATTCTTTTAACTATCTTCTTATCTGTTAAAGATATTTGAAAAATAAAGGCTGATTTAGTTGGTAGGTGCTAGAATGTTTCATTACAAAAGTGTTTACGTGAGTATATTTTTATGTAAATGCGAATATGTGTGTCACCATTTACTTGTTATTTAAACACGTATAGTAGTGAGTGGTGTGAATAAAAATGTATATTGTTATTCCATGAGTCCATGTATCAATATATGTGTGTGTTTGTGTATTTGTGATAAGACATACAATGGGAATAACAATTGTAATAGCCCCTTCATGATGATGACGAAAATAATGTTGATTATACTGATAGCTATTTACTGATACTGGAAAATATAAAAGAATAAACTGAATTAATAAAAATGGTAAATGTCTTAAAATATTATTACTTGGCAGCAAACATTTTGTACACCTCACTGTGATCATAAACATTCAAAATCGTAGAAATTATAATAATGATAAAATGAATTCATTTGATTTCGTAAGGTTCTCATCAGCTGCCTACAACCTGTAATATTTTAAAAATCAAAATTATTGTCAATTTTATATACATAGAACAGTAAGAAGGGGTTATGTATCATCATAGTGGAGTAGTATGTGAAGACATATAAAGTGTTGTAAATAAATAAATATGTGAGAGAAGATCCTGTATCATGAGGCATAATAAGGAAACAGTTGTAATCTCTCCTTGCCACAGTGATTTTATAGTCAGTTTACTATGTCATTTCTCAAGATTTTCTCTCTCGGTAATTATATCACTTCTCTCAAATTTACAATTTTATAGTCTGATCTCATGATACAGAATCTCCTCTCACATTTATTTACTTAAAACATTTTGTATGTCTTCACACACTACTCCACTATGATGAGGCATAACCCTTTTTACTGTTCCATGTATATAAAATTGGCAATAATTTTGATTTTTTAAATATTACAGGTTGTAGACAGCTGATGAGAACCTTACGAAGTAAAACGAATTCATGTTATTCAGCTTGATTCTTTGTTCTTGCTCCCTTCAAGATAATAAAGGGAACTAAATGTATAGAACACCGATAATGTTCACGAAAAATTAATTTCAAAGATTATTTTTTAAAAAAAAACTCGTCTAATTGTTAAAAGGTTTTGTAGTGTTTAGTTTAGTTTAGTTTACAAGTATTTTACCTCACTGATTAAAAATAGCTGGAGGCCAACTGAAAACCAGAGCAACAAACAGCTGTTTCTTTCTAGTATGAAACTTCTTGTAGTTAAAACTCAACTGAGGATTATATCCGGAATAGACGGACCTCTCTTAAAGCGCTTAATCTTCAGATCACTGAGCTTGGAACCTATATAAATTCGCTTAGTGGTTATTTTTTCGTGGACTGATTAGAATTAGAGAAATAGCGAAAACAAAGGAGTAAAGAACGGCTGTTGATCCACTGTTTCAGGCCTTTCATTACTGCACGCTGACGGCCTCAGTGATTGCTTAGGTGAAGTTGACCAATAGCAAAAATTATCTTATAAATGTACTAATATTCTTAACAAATCGATTAAACAATGCAATTTTTTATTTATTCATAATTTTCTAGTCTACTATAGCTCAACAACTTGGATTACAAGTTTCAACAGTAGCAAATTTTTTTATGAATGCTCGTCGTCGATCACTAGATAAATGGCAAGAGGATACAAGTAAAATATCAAGTACAATGAATTCACCATCGGATTCATCATACAGTCAAAGTGAAGAACAAGGACAACAATCAGGTGTGATTCATAATTTGTGTTGTTCAAAAGATGATGATATAAATAATTGTACTCCTTATTTATTGCCATCTATGCATCAACCTGGATATTCATTGCCAACTTCAACTCCTGTAACAGCATTAAAAACACTGGATAATAGTTTCACTTCAGGGAATCCAATAGAATTAGAACGAATAACAGCAAGTAATAGTTTAACTGCTTGTAATAGTTTCTCAAAACCTAATAATCTGTTACCATTGAATTCGAATCTTGCAAGAACAGTATTGAATAGTAATAATAATAACGAAAACAACAACAATAATAATAATAATAATAATAATAATTTGTTTAAATGTGATAATCCAGGAAATAATATGATTCCTCCGGAACATCATACATATAATGCACTAAATACAACTGATGGTCTTTCAACCGTTCCAAATGTTATTTATTCATCACAAAGTTCCACTACTGGACAGCACAAACAACAGCAACAGTTGGATTTACAAAATTTTTCAAATAATTTCTCTTTACATTTAACAACACAAACTCAGCATCCATTTTCATATCAACTGCAATCACAGCAAGAACATCATCAACAACAACAACAACAGCAGTCAAATCCTCCTGTTCATCAGCATCATCATCATCATCCACAGAGTTCATCACATCCTATGAATGCACAGTTAGTAGTACCATCATCTTCGTCGATATCATCATCATCGTCATCATCGCATCAATTGGTATTTCCATTGGATATATTAGATCAGAATAATGGTATGAATAAACATTCAACTGTCAATAATCGACTACATAATTCTGATCATGAAACTATCAATACTAGTACTAATACTAATAATAATAATAACAACTTAATTAAATCAGTTTATCCATATTGTAATCCTCAAGCAAATTATATATTCCCTGTTTCAGGTAATTTACATTCACATCATACACATTTAGATATGTTCAACACTAATACTGTCAGTAATAATGATAATAATAATAATAATAACAATAATACTAATAACGACAGTAATAATAATCTTAAACATAATAATCTACCTAATATGAATAATGATAATCTAATGAGAAATCAATTTTTAATGCGTGACTTAACTGACAGTCAACAATTTGATCATCGTTTCTTAAGTACAATGACTAGTGGGCAATTAACATTAACTGAACAAGCTTTAGAATTATGCTCTTCAATAGCTGCTGCCAATGCTATGTCATTTAATAATAACATCAATGTTAATGACAATATCAGTAAAAATCATTTTATTCATTTGACTAATGAAAAATCAAATCCTTTTCATAATAATTTGGAAATTAAAAATTCTCATGAATTAAATGGACCAGTTGATATCAGTAATAATAATGTTATTGACAATAATAATAATAATAATAACAATAATAATATTGTTCCTAATCAGAATGATACGAAAAATGCAAATAGTGTAACAAATGATATCAGTAATAAAAAAAGTAGTCATCACGAGGATCACAACAATGATCTACATTGTCATCACCTTCAACAACAACAGCAACAACAACAACAACATCAAATAGATTTATTGAATAAAATGAATTTATCAATCAATGAATGTAATCAACTACGTTTTCAATCGTCAAATGATTTATCTAGATATCCATATTTTTCTACAAACGAATTTATAGATGAGATGAGAAGAACAAATAATGAAATAATCAATGAACGTAATGATACAAATAATGGCGATCTCGGTGAAGTGGAAGATCAAGATGAGTGTGTTGAAGACATAGATGATGTCGATGATGATGGTGAGGAAATCACTGCAGAATTATTTGAAGATGAGCCGGAAGTCGAAGAGAATGATGATAAACGCGATGGTGATACATTAAACACCAAAAAGGAATCTATGAGACGTGATTTAAATTCTAGTTCAAATCACTAAAACGTTTGCCCTTCTTAATAGGTATCAGAAAAAAAATATAGATAAAAAAATATCTTTTATAATTTGTACTTAATTTTTGTGTGAACCTACAGATAGATCAGAACTGTTACAATTTGCAGTTCCTTTATTGAGTAAATTAATCCACATTAAGAATATATACCCATGATATTTGTGAATTGTTTGATCAACTCAAGGTCAACTAATTTTAAATGTTATATGATCGTTGTTAATAGTTTAAATCTTATCTACATTTATCCTTCCTTCAAATGCTTGTTACTTGTTCGCTGTTAATAAATAGTCTGTTATAATGTTGAGTGGACCTAAAACATAATATTGATTGTTGAATCTTTTCATGAAACAAACAAATAGATAGTTGTTATTAGTTTAAATCTTATTAGAAACCTCATCTACATGAACAAATAACAGTTGTCTTATCACTATTTAAGATAATTATAAAAATTCAAGTAGAAAAAAGCACACACAAAAATGGGAGCTGTGCAAACAAGTAAGAATCATAGAAGATAAGTTGACTCATCCGAGACGAAGAAAGAGAGAATGAGAGAAACAACTCTATTTTTCACCCAAAATTCAAAGGTAGTTAGTTAGGTCAACATTGAAATAGAGCACAAAAACACTGTGTTAACAAACACATTTACTAGTGTTGTTTGTGTTTCCCTTCCACAGAACAATGAAATATTAAGATAACAATACCGAAGCAAAAAAGGTATCTAACTTTCTTTTTATTACCTAATTATTATTTTTTTCTAGTTTTTACAATAAAAAAGTAATAATATTTATTTTTCCCACCGAGTTTCGAATATATCACATTTACATTGGCAACATATATGCATGCATGCATGCATGCATACATATACACTTCCTTGAAGATGATGAAAAAAAGTATTGTCTATGATGAATGAATTATCATTCCTTTTTGTATCTTTTTCTCCAGTTAATACATTGTCACTTTCTTCCGTATAGAAGAGCTCTCTCTCCTTCTCACTGCAAAGATTATGAAAGACATTAAAACATATTTTCAAACAGAATCAAACTATTTCCTTATTTCATAAAAAATAAGAATAAGTTTACAGAGAAATGTGAATACTTTACATTGAATTAATTATTAATAGTAGTAATCTTTCACTGTCCTGAAGAGCAATCAATAAAGTTCTGTATAAGGTAAGATTTATTCTTATTGGACACAGAATATGTTGTAAACCTTCACTTTGTGTTTACGAACACAGAGAAAGAAAAAGCTAGAGATGGATAATTTCAATGGTTAAGAATCACAAATAAGAGTAATTGAAGAAAGATACTATACATGAATTATTTCTCCTTTGCAGACATTTCTTTCTACTGTATACGATATAGAATGTAAGAACCCCCGGAAATAAGTAAGTACACGTAACCATATCTCATAGATATATGATATGATAAGATTTAAACTAATAACAATTATCATATCATATATCTATGAGATATGGTTACGTGTACTTACTTATTTCCGGGGGTTCTTACATTCTATATCGTATACAGTAGAAAGAAATGTCTGCAAAGGAGAAATAATTCATGTATAGTATCTTTCTTCAATTACTCTTATTTGTGATTCTTAACCATTGAAATTATCCATCTCTAGCTTTTTCTTTCTCTGTGTTCGTAAACACAAAGTGAAGGTTTACAACATATTCTGTGT